CCCCAGAGAACCTGTCCTTTCAAAATCTAAATACGACCATGTTACAGCTGCCTTGGAGAGCTATTCGCTTTTGCCTTTTGGATCCTTGCCCAGCCGGCCAAGCCAGCTGGCCTCTGTCCCAGTCCACTCTTCCAGCTGGTTCTCAGACTTCCTTGTCTTCTCCTCTTCGTTCCAGCTAGTGAAATGCTTGCTGTTCTTTGGATACTCAAAGTTCTCCTTTGCTTCATCCAGGCTCGTGCAGCCTAGGATGTTTACAGGTGTCTAAGGCAGCTGTCTCAAGACGTGGGATTGCATCTTTGTTCTTTACCCAACTTCCATCCCTTGGCTGTAGTGTGCAAATACGCTGTACTTGAACCATCTCTTTCTGTCTAGGCATGGCGACTGCAGGACATACGGTTTGGAGGGCAGGGTCCGTGGGTTAACTTTGTGTCTCTAGTGTTAAGACATTACACTAGTGTGTAGTTAAGACATTACATTAGTGTGGAGCCAATCTTCCATGGGGGTCCGGATGCATCCTAATGTTTCTGTGTACCAGGGATGACCCTGCTCAGGGCTATGGTCCAAAAACCTATCGGTTCAGACTTGGAGCTCTAGAGTTCAGCCAAAGAGCATCTGGCTTCTGGGAAACAGAGGGTGTGGTAGGTTGACCAGTAGCTCTCACCACCCAGTTTGCTTTCTCATTCCCAGCTAGAGGTAATCCTGCATTTCTGACCTCTTTCCCACCTGCCCTAACTGGGGGCCAGGGTCATTCAGATGCCACCCTAAGGGTATTGACCACTTATAGACTGCTTTGGCAGTACAATACAGAGAGCAACCAACTTGGCATGGTGATAATAGTGAGCTAAGTCAGTGGTAATGTAGGGCACGCATTAATGACTGCTACCTGCCATTCTGATCCACACCAGCCTGTAACCGCCTGCCTACAGACTGTCTCAGCTCTGGTGATGCAGTCACCATGGGGAGTTAAAGATGGAGTAGGCTAGAGCCCTCTGTACTTGGGAGATTTATACAATCCGGGCCTAAAATACAGGGTTTGCCTCTACTGGGGCTTTTGGCTGCCCTTGAGGGAGGAGGTGGTGCAGGGAAATGTCTCCTGCTACTGTTTAATCATTCCCACTCTACCGTAGGGAGTTGTGAAAGTGGCAGGAGACTGGAGGACAGTGCACAGGCAGTGGAGGAGAGAACCCATGCATTATGTAGCAGAGAGCTATTTTTTCCCCAAGCTCCTTTTCACTGCTATAGGCTGGGACATCCCCTTGGTACTGGGCCCATGACACTATCTCCACTAACTTTTAAATCTTTGCAACAGTATGGCCCCGGTATAGCCTTTATAATACTTTGGAATCTAAGAAGTTTCTTTAGAATGCAGGAAAAACATAACATAGGTTCTGCTTGTCTTATGCTAAGCATTTTGAAAGAAAGTGTGTGTGTGTGTGTGTGTGTATGTGTGTGTGTGTGTGTGTGTGTGTGTAAGTATGTTTGCTCATTTATGTGTGCACATATCTGTACATACATGTGGAGACCAGAGATCAATATTGGCTGTCATTCCTTAGGAGCCCGCCAGATTATTTGTTTATTAATTTTGGGCCAGGAGTCTCTTCATTGAGTCCTCCAGCTCCCTGATTAGGATAGGATGGCTCAGTGAGTCTCAGGAATCCTCCTACGCCCATCTCCTTGGAGCTAGGATTACAAGCCATACTACCATGCCTGTATTTTTACATGTGCTGGAGACTGTGGAACCCGAACTCTGGTCTACATGTTTGTGTGGCAAACAGTTTATAGACTAATCTATCTCCTCAGGACCAAGATGTTGGTTTTCTTTCTTTTTTTAAAAAATTATTTATTATGTATACAAAGTACTACCTGCATGTATTCCTGCAGTCCAGAAGAAGACATCAGATCTCATTATGGATGGTTGCAAGCCACATGTGGTTGCTGGGAATTGAACTCAGGACCTCTAGAAGAGCTGCCAGTGCTCTTAACCTCTGAGCCATCTCTCCAGCCCCCAGTTTTCTTTTTTTTTAATTAAAAGATTGTTTGCAAGCCAAAGTTAATTGAGAGTAGAATATAATACACATATTTAATCTCTTATTAATAACTATACTAATTTGTTAAACAAGAATCGAGTTATTTTTATTAGCAGGTGCTGACATTCTGTCTCAGCTGTTTTTGGAAAAGAAAATGATTCTAAAAATCTATGTTAACTATAACACAGGGCTCTGCTCATCAGCTGACTAGCATGAGGGATTTCTGTGACACATTGAAGCCTGTTTAGGACACCAAAGACTGTTCAAAGTGTTAAAGAAAAGTTCATTTAAAAAAAAAACCTTTTAAATATCAAAGATTTCAAATAACCTCTGGTCTTTCTATATATGCTTATCCAGTCAAGCCATTATGGTGATGTACATATAGTGACGACTCTATCAATTCTTAATGATACTTTAAGTGTTAGTGATGCAATTCAATTGTACAAAATAGTGAAATCAAGTCCACCAATTTTTGCATATTCTATTTTGCACAGTATCGCACTCTACTAAAGACAATATGCATGATATTATTTTGTGATAGGTAGGGCAGTGATTCCAAAGTACTTTCAAACACATATTGGCTCTTTTGAGACTCTCAGCCACTCTGAGACTGGTACTACGCTCATGTGCACTTAAATATTTTACAGGAAATAGGTGTAGTTAGGGTGAGTGGCTTGGCTTGACCCCAGTTCCAAAGCTAGCATTAACTAGAATCAAGGCCTAACCCCAGCTTGAATCTACCTACTCTGTGGCATGCGCTTATAATCCTGTCCTGATTGGCTCCTGTCCATTGGCTTCTCATTAAAGGACCAACGGAGGCACACAGAAGGAAGAACAAGTTTACTAAAGAAATGTGAAGAACCGGTAGGGTGTAACGCAGCTACAGGTATTAAGTGAAGGTACAGCTGCCTGGCAATAAAACACAGTCTTCATGAGGATTCCCATTTGGAGAGAGACGAGAAGGCTGGATAGAGAGCGAAGAGGACCGAGGAAAAAATAGAGAAGAGCTGCTCCACACAGGTGCCATCGAAGAGCAATGTGTAAGCTTAAAAGTTGACTTTCAAGAATCATTTTAGGGCCAGTGAGGTGGCATAAGCAAGCAAAGGCTCTAACACCCCCACCCCCAGAACCTACATGGTAGAAGGAAAGAACCAACTCCTGCAAGTGGTCCTCTGTCACACAAATATGTCACACAAATTCATAGCATGAGTGCACCCACATACATTTGTATACACAAATAAATAAATAACTGTACAAACATTTAAAAACTCATTTTAGCAAGATTAGAAAATATAAATATTCTCATTCACTGAAAAGCTACTGTACTGACATTCACTGTTGAGTGTCTAATGAGAAGTTTAATACCATGATAAAGGGATTATTACACAGCATCGTCTTCAGTCTGGGGTGGCTGCTAACATGTGCAGGGAAAAGACATTTAACCAAATGATATCACACAGGATATTTTATATAAAAGCTATATAAGTATATTATGTGTATACATTTCTTCCTCCTCCTCCTTCTCTCCTTCATCTTCTCCTTCTTATTATTGAAATAGGCTTTTGTTATATCTCAAGCTGACTTTGAATTCTAAAGGCTCCTCCTGATTCAGTCTCTCCAGAAGCTGGGAACTACAGGCAAGCCGGCTCAGAGGGCCTCAGTTCTCTTTTTTTAAAAACCCAATTTGAAATGGGAGGAGGTGGAAATTTTTAATAAATAAATAATAATAATAAAAATACCCCAATTTGAGCCCTGTGGTGGCGGCGGACACCTTTAATCCCAGGAGGTAGAGGCAGGCAAATCTCTGTGAGTTCAAGGCCAGCCTGGTCTACAGAGTTCCAGGACAGGCTTCAAACCTACAGAGAAAACCTTTATGGAAAAAACCAAAAGCCAATAAAACAAAACAAAACATCCCCCCCCAAAGAAAAACAAATCCAATTTGAGGCTTAGTGGTTAAGAACCACTCTGCTCTTGCAGAAAAACTAGACTTGATTCCCAGCACCCCATGTGGCAGCTAGCCCCATAATTCCAGTTCTAAGGGATTTGATGCCCCCATCTGACCTCCACGATGGGAACCAAGCACCTATGTGGAAAACAAACATTCAGGCAAAACATTTACTCTCTCTTTCTTCCCACATCTTTTGAAACAATGACTAAAATCACTACATAAATGACTCGGTGCAAATACAAAAGGGAAAAAACAGCAACAAGGTATTCATTTCTGCAGTTTATACAAACTCACTGCGGTTTTTCCATGCAGACAAGGCTTCGGGAATCCTCCAAATGGGAAGGTCAGAACCGACTGGCCCAAGCACCACACACAGGAAGGTACTGAGGATTCTGTCAAATTCCATTTAGAGAAACCATAAGATTTGAAAGCAGCTATTGCACTGGAGACTTAGTTTCAACATTATGGGCAAGGAAACTAAGAATCCAAAAAAGGTAAAGAAATTGGCAGTCTGCATAATCTGGCTAGCCGTTGGGCCTGAAGGCAGTGTTTCAGGGAGAACAAAGTCTCTGCCCCTCAGTTTTGGCTCTACCCATGAAGGTCAGACTGGATTTTTCCTTCGTTTTTCCAATTTTGTGCTTCCCACCCCAGGATAATTCAGATCAAGTTGGCTTCAGTCTTAAAGGTGTTTTGTTCGGTCCTCCGCCCCCACAACGGTTTTTGTTTGTTTGAAAACGTCCTCAAAGCTGAGATTGATTTGTTTGTTTGTTTACTTTGTCTGTACAACAGCAACGAAGGTCACGTCCACTCAATCAAAGGGCACCCGCCCCAGCCAGGAAAAGGTGCACTTGCTCTTCTCCGGCGTCCACAGGCCACGTGCGGGAGGAGGAGCCGTCTTCTGATTGGTGCCAGAAGCTTTGCATGGAGGGCGGGGCCACCTGTCTGTCCATCACCGCATTCTGGGCGGGGCCAGGGCGGGCGAGCCCGACTGTGGGGCAGAGTCAGGGCAGCGGGACCCAATCTCTGCGCTGCGCTTTAGCTGGGCCGCGGCTCCTCCAGTGCGGGCCGCTCGGCGACGGTTGCTGGGGCGCGCGCCGCCCGTTCCTCTTTCCCGTTGCGAGCGGCTGGCGCGCAGGGAGGCGGCCCCCAGTCCAGCCGGGCGCCTCCCACTCTCCGAGCCGCCGGGGAGCCGGAGGATGGCGGCGGTGGCGGCGGCCGCCCGGGAGGAGGCGGTGCGGAGGCCGCGGAGCGCGGCAGCGAGCGGTAGCGGCCCGTCGCGGCGGCCCGGCAGCGACCGCGTCCGCACGGCCACCTGAGCACCCGCCGCGAGCTGCGTCCCGCCGGCCTCGCTAGCTCGCTCGCTCGCGGCCCGGGGCGGCGCGGACATGGGCGCCAAGCAGAGCGGCCCCGCCGCCAACGGCCGCACCCGCGCCTACTCGGGCTCGGACCTGCCCTCCGGCAGCGGCGGCGGCGGGGCGGACGGCGCTCGGGCGGCCCGGTTCGTGGCCCCGGTGCCCGGCGCGCAGCAGCCCAGCGCCTCGGCCGGCGCGGCGGCGGCGACAGCGGCAGCCGCCTCGGCCCCGACAGCGCCCCGCAGCCGCTCGCTCGGAGGGGCGGTGGGCAGCGCTGCGGGCGGACGCGCGGCGCAGTCGGCCTTCAGCATCCCTGGCGGCGGCGGCGGCAGTGGCAGTGGCCCGTACGGCTCGCAGGACTCGGTGCACAGCAGCCCGGAGGACGGCGGCGGCGCTAGGGAACGGGACCGGCCAGCGGGCGGGGGCCCTGGTGGGCCGCGCCTGGTGATCGGCTCGCTCCCGGCCCACCTTTCTCCGCACTTGTTTGGAGGTACGGTCCCTTGCCCCCGAAGCAGCTTCCCAGCTGGGGGAAGCGCCCCCTCCTAACCCCCCTCCCCCCTGCCACGAGGTGAATGGAACTAGAATTGTTTTACAACAAACTGACGAAACAGCCTCGTGGTTATAATTTTTAGTACCAGGAAGTTAGGGGTGATAGGTGGACGAATGTAGTTCTGCTCGGGTGCTGGAAAGCGAGCAGTTTTAAAGGCCCAAAGCCAGAAGGGACTCACGTGGATGTTTGAGTGCTTGAACAAAAAGGAAGTTATTTCCCTGGATCGACTCCTAACAAAGCTGTAATCCTCGAGCGTCTGTACATAGTTCTGTATTCTTACTGGGTGGGTCCATGTTATTTGGGTGTATGTGTTAACACAAAGTGTTGCTTTAGCCGCAGGAAACTGCTACTTTACATGTGGCTAATGTCAGTACTGCTTAGTTTGAAGCTGATTGTGGAACTGTTCAAAAACAGTTATTTAAAGAGATAATCTTTACAGTGATCACAACTCTGCCTACAAAGGCAGTAGTTGGTCAGGGTCTTTCGAAGAGCCGTGTTGACTAGCGTTAAGGAAACCATTAGAGGTCAGTGATGTGCTTTTATGCTGTTTGAAACCAGGGAAAGGGTGCACTTGATTGTGAAAGTGTGAACTCAGACCGCACATTCCCACTTCCTTGCGTTATGTGTCCGGCATTATATATTCCTATTTGAGCGCGGAATGGTGTGAACCCCACCTTCTGTTTTAAAGACCTTCTTATTCATGTGTTTATAGTTGTAAGAAATTAAGTGGCTTGTTTACTGATCTGTGTGCTAAAGCAATCAGACTCTAGCGTTAATTCGTAAAAATGTCATGTTTAGTTTCCACCATCTTAATGATATTTTGCATGTTTGATATGAAAGCACTTAGCTTTTAGCTACTTTTTTTTTTTGTTTGTTTGTTTGTTTGTGAGGTTCTGAGACTCTGACCTAAGTTGCTGAGCTTGTTAGGCCAGCTCTTTATCACTGAGCTAAACACTTAGCCTGCCACTTAAATAACTTGCTTTATGGTAAGTTTTGCAGTGCCAATAATTATATTAATGTTTTCTAAAATTGAGGCATATTTAAAAAAAAAATCTTGTTTTTGGAAAAAAGAAGTAATCATGCCCTAACTGTGGTCTGAGACAGTGTAGTTTCCTGAGAGTGGTGCCATGTTTTAGAAATAACTACCTTTTTAAAATGAAGTTTTCACTAAGCAGTTATGATCATCAAAAGTAGGAACAAGAAAAGGGAATAGGAAAAGTCTTTCAGTTAATATTTAATATCCTGATTACCACTTTTGATTCAGTTTTTCTCTGGGCTGATTTCTCTTTGACAAGACTCAGTATGTATTTGCTTTATTAAAGTAAGTATTCAGAGCAGGGGAGATCGCTGGCCTTCCTGCTATTAGTTCTTAATAAATTGGCAAGACCTGTTTGCCTAGAGTTGGAATGCAAGCTTTTTGTTTGCTTTTTTAAAAACATAATTCTTAGATTTGTGGACGTAGTATGTAGTTCTTTAGTAGTCCTCCTGATCTGGAAAGACTGGGTAGCAAGACAGTGCTGGGGCAGCTTTTCTAATCCAGGTCTCTGGTAAGGTTGATTGCTAGACAGTCCTAAGTCATCAATTGTGTGGAGGATCTTAACTTTTTTCTACAGTTCATTATGAACTGTTAGAGATATGTTTCGATCTTGGGTCATTGGAGAAAAATAGTCACTCATTTTTCTGTGCTTCCTGATTCATGTAAGAAACTTTAGTTGACAAGGCCTAAAGGGGGTCAGAAATGACCTGTTCTCATGTGAAAGGAATGAAAAGGGCAGCGACTTTAAAATCCTTGAGAGAAACAGTAAAGTTGGTCCTTAGTAAAGGCTTTGCCTAATGAAACTTGTACCAGTCTGTCAGTGAGTGGGGTTATGAGAACAACTAGTGGAAGTGCATTTCTAATCATTCTGAGATGGACGGAGCTAGATGTGGAGTCTTAAATAATTAGATTTGATTCTTTATATTGACACCATTTTATTATGTTTTATACCAATGTGTCAGAGTTGTTAAAGGTTGGGCATGTGCAGTGTTTACTGAATTTTGAATGTTAGGGCATAGATAATGGACTCCAACTGAAAATTGAGAAAAAGAACATTTCAAAATTAATGGAAAGTTCTTACTGTAACTATATAAAGCATTGATGTTTGTATTGTTTCCTAACCAGAAAAGGTAGTCCTAAAAACACTCAGATAAAGTTCCTTTGTAGACTCCCGATGTTATGTATTGAAAGAGGAAACCTAAACTATTGCTCTTTAAATTGCTTTCCGCTTAGGAGAGTGGCAAGTAGATACGTAAGCTATTCTATTGCTCTATCACAGTGAGTTGCCAAATTGAATGAAGTTTTCTGTGGTGACCTTTGAGTTTTGCTTTCTTTGGGATGTATATTTTGGCTGCACCTTTTTAGCTTTTCACGATAGTATTTCTCTGTGCAGTTCTCGCTGTCCTGGAACTTAATGTGTAGACCAGGCGAGGCTGCATACATTCTTACTTCTCTCTAGAGAATTAAGTAACTAGAAGGAAGATGAGTAACTCAGATATTTCAGCTGGTAGGCATTGAGTTCTCGTGGAGATCAGAGTATGGTTAGAATCTCTGTGGAGTTTTTAGAAGAAGTAGGGCTTGTTTCTCTTTACTCTTTGTCGATTAGTGAATTGACTACTGTGTTGTATATAGTGAACAGAAGTTCTCTCTTAATTACTGGTAATAGTCTGGTCCCATTTGTTTTAAAACTGGTCTCTAAGGGCATCATCTAACATTTGAAAACCTTGGTATCTTAAGGAGGATTTGTTTGACTTTATTTTATGCCTGCATTTTCCCACTAAGCCACTGATGTTCATAAAAGCTGTCAATAGGAGTTAAAACAGCCTTCCTTGATGCAGCTGTCAAAGGAGGTGAGTTAGCTTTTAAAATACCCTACCGAGTAAAGATTATTTCCGGAGAAATCCTATGACTTCAGTAATGCATGTGTATGTGTGTCTGGTGGTGAGATTGTAAAGTGAATTAATTTAAGGCAGTGAACCAACAGTTCTTTGCTGCTTTCGCTGTTTAATTGTTTTAACGTGTTTGGGTGTGGCTTGCCTGTGAGTATTTCAGCAGCCTGTAATTCAGGTGTCTCCTGTTACTTACGTTGAAAGAGCGTGGGCCGTCATTTAAAATTGAGTGTGTTTATTTTTTTTTAATTTATTTATTTATTATGTATACAATATTCTGTCTGTGTATATGCCTGCAGGCCAGAAGAGGGCACCAGACCCCATTACAGATGGTTGTGAACCACCATGTGGTTGCTGGGAATTGAACTCAAGACCTTTGGAAGAGCAGACAATGCTCTTAACCTCTGAGCCATCTCTCCAGCCCCCAAATTGAGTGTGTTTAAATAAGATTTGTATTCCTAGGAAGATTTATTTAAATGAATTTTCAGCACAGATGTGAGGTTTTATGGAGTTGTTCTCAGTTATTACTTACCATAGATGCCAAAATATTTGAATTTGGGAAATTGTGGTTAATCTGCTCTTCATTCTTGGATTTTTCTCTTAACACAGTTGATGTTTTTTTTGGGGGGGGGGGGTAGAAGAGATGATTGCACTGTATAGGGAAGACAGACTCCAACGACCACTCCTGCCATCTCTGCCAAGGGACTTGGATGGTTAGTGCTTCTCACCTGTAACTTCATCTATCTTTAAAGACCACAGGCGATGCCTTAAGTTGCTTACTGAAGTGTGGCCTCTGTCCTGGATGGTCCTGCTTTGGGAACTGTTTGGAAGTAACCTTGAGGTTGGAGGCGGAGTGGGATGAGTTCACAGGCCGGCCCTTTGATAGCTGCGGGACTGTCTTGGGGAAGAGCTCTCTGTCTGTTGTGTGCTTGTACCAGCAAGCCTGTCCAACTCCCTTCTGCTTGGTTGCTTTGCCTATTGACCAGTAAGTAGGTTCTTATTGCTGGCTGTCCACCTGTCTCATACTCATCTTGTGCATAATTATATGGAGAATTGCCTTACTGTTCTACGTATCAAATTCACTGTCTATACATCTAATCTAGGATATTGGCAAATGGACTGAGAAAAGTGCAAAAACTTATATATACAAAGTACTTTGTAAGGTTTATTTTCTTAGGTAATACTCCTAAGCATTTTTAAATGCCAGTTTATTTAAATTTTTGTAAGTTCTGAACTGTTTGACATTAATGTCTTTAGAAATTGGAGAAACCATGGTACTTCGTGTGAACAAAAGGTTCAGAAAAAACTTTTGTGTTGTATGAGTATTTGTTTTCTATGCTACGTGCAAGCAGCACATCACAAATATAGCTGTTTGATGCAGTACACATTGGTCTGTGGTTTAAGAGTCAGCACAGCTTAGCAGATCAGGGTGTTAGTGGGGGCACTGTGACTGATGTTTGATCTCACCTGAAGAGGATCTGCACCCAAATTCCCTCAGGTGGATTGGCATAATTCATTTCCTTGTGGTTGTTAGGCTCACCGAACTTTATTCCCCTCCCCCTCCTAATTCTTAGTGTGGAGTCATTGTATGGAATAAATGGGTTTGGTTGTGACTTTTTTTTCTGTTTTTTTTTTGTTTGTTTGTTTGTTTGTTTTTGTGCCAGGGTTCTCTGCATAGCCTTGACTGTTCTGGAACTCACTTTGTGGACCAGACTGACCTCAAACTCACAGAGATCCGCCTGCCTTTGCCTCCCCCGTGCTGGGATTAATGGTATACATCTCTACTGCCCGGCTTGTGACATTTTCATCATTGATATTGTGTTCTAGGGTCGCACTCACTTCCCCTTAGCCTCTTTCCCATCTCCTTCCTCTTCCAGATAGTTCCCTTCTCTTTTTAAACCTAGAACTCAAAGACATGAAGTTTTTATGTTTGAGTCTGTCCTATTTCACTTTACAGTACTCTTTATTTCTGTCCATTTCTCTGCAGATGACCTGTCATTTTAAAAGATCTTATT